CTTCAAAAAAAGGTCATCAAATTCAAAAAGATAGGTTTGCACCCCCCCACTTTTGAAAAATCTATCCAGAAATCTTTGTCAGTTTCCAAAATTTTCAATGCATCCCCCCACTTTTTTTTCTTCGCCACATCCCTGCTTGCTTCAATCTCCCCAAGACGTAATCCGAAGTTTTGCGTTCTTCTTCCGAAATTTCCACTTTTATCTAGAACCATCTCTATTTTCACATTCCATAGTTCTATCTTGAGTGTGACTTTGTCGTTCAAAGTAGAACTGAATAGAGTTTCCTGCAAAATCTTTATTCTGCTGAAATTCCTTCTTAGCTGAAACGTCATCAGCGGCTGTCCACGATCCTGCATTGTGGACACAAATTATTCCTAAACCTTAGGATCAAAGAAGTCCGTATGGGAAAATCTACAGGCCTGTAGAGACTGGTATTTCACCGATTTGCTTCTTTGAAAAATATTCTCTTTTGCTCATTTTTGTTCAAGAAAGACGAATATTTTGTTTTTTTTTCAATCCATATAGACTATATCAATATCAATCGATGAGTCTTTAAGCATAATTCAAGAGAGTGTCGATGGTGTTCAACATTAATCAGACAAGATAATAAACAAGCAAACTAAGTAACAGGTTACGAGCCAGTTACTCAGGTACTTCGTTTCATTGGAGTCTCACAAAACATCTCAATAGTAAACGAACATCACTGAAGATACCGATTTCTTCGTAAAATATCAATGTTTGCGTAGCTTACAGTATTGTTTGCTATAGTATTGAAGCTTTGACACAGATCTTAACCATAGAGAAAAGTTCAATATTTATATTTAAAGGAAGTAAAGAAACTTCAAGCGGTTATTAACTAGTGCCCAGCGTGACCATAAAACCGTGACCAAAGAAAAAAAGATTATTCGATTGTAATTTTGATGTTGAATATGAAAACAATACTTTTGATTTGATCCTTTGTATTCAGAATTTTCTTCTCTACAAAATGATGTATAAAACTTGAAGATTCAATGATCTATACGAGAGAAAACAACGATACATTTTTCGTAACCAATTCGGGTTACGGTCAGTCACGGAAATTTCTGGTCACGACAAATGTATCATTGTTTTCTCTCGTATAGATCATTGAATCTGCAAGTTTTATACATCATTTTGTAGAGGAGAAAATTCTGAATACAAAGGATCAAAGCAAAAGTATTGTTTTCATATTCAACATCAAAATTACAATCGAACAATCTTTTTTTCTTTGGTCACGGTTTTATTGTCAAGCCGGGCACTATTATTAACTCTTATTTTATATAGTTTCTGTCTTCATAATGTGTGCAAACAAGTACATATTATCTCTGTTTCTAAATTATCATAAATTCGATTTTCTCAATGATCATTGTTTACGTTTAATCACTGAAAATGTGTCTTTTTATCCACACGAACTCTAGTTTAACACAAATATATTTATTCTTACTTTCTACTAAAAATATCTTTTAAATGTTGTACGTCGACACAAAACTTATTTACCAGACTTGATTGGAAGAAATCATTTTTCAGCTTTCCATCGTTCTCGGACACTCTTTCAACCGATGCGACTGCTTCGATAGAAACTTTTTCTATTTCTTCCAGTAGTCTCAAAACTTCCTTTCGACCAACTTTTCAAATGACCGGCTAGTTGTGAGTGGTATCTCAGAACAACTAACCGCTCGCATGCTCGACTCTGTCTCTTAAAAGACTATCTACTGCTTTTGACAATATAACCAATTCAGGTCGACTATTGTGACAAATTTCTATTTATAATAGAAGATTTCTCAAGATGAAATTCCAAACACGAGATTTTATTGTGAAGTATTCCTTATCTCTTGAATTTCATTGTCAACCTCGAAAATCCGCATTACACTGTAATCCTTTATAAAAGAAATCTTTCTGGAATATGCTAGAGAAACGTTGTAAATCTTATCGAGATCTTTCCCAAAGCTCATCTGCAGTGAATGTTCAGACCGACGACTAGCCGCTCAATTGCCTAAGTCTACTTCTTCAATCAATCATACACGTTGAGTTACAATCTAACCGTTAAATATTTTTCTTTCTTCAAAAAATCCTTAAATTTATAACAGAAGTCTTGTCGAAGGAAAATTCAATATAGTAAGGCTATTCTGCGACTAACCTAGGCATGCAACTAATAAACTAGAGACGGCAAGTAACCAAACTTCTCTTATCTTGTATGACTCTTCCTTCATTTAAACGAGAAATTATATTTTTCATAAAAACTCCTTTCTCTCTCCTAAAAAAATACTCGAACTCAAAATTTTGCAAAGACTAACCACAGATGCAGATTCCTCCACTCCGATTACCTTTGGTCAAACTTTATAAAAATTTATTATTTTTCGTAAAAAAAGTCTTTTTTGTCTAAAAAAATTCAACTCAAAATCTTGAAAAACTAATCACGGATTCTGATTCTTCGATTCCGATTATCTATGGCCAAACTTTATAAGCGGTTCGTAACTCGTTAATTTGTTTGCACGTGACTTAACACGTGATTGCAAACATACAAGCAATCAAACAAACTCATTTTATTTCATATGACCCTCCTTTCAGTCGAGGGAAAAATTAATTTGAATATACAGAGTAGATGTGCTGCATTACCATTGATGATTAAATATAATGCCTTGACATTAGATTTAGTTAATACTTAGCTGTTAGCATTGAGTTAGCATTATTTTTATTCTAATACATCTATTCTATGTAAATTTTCGGGGCTACTTTCACATCATATTTCTAGATTTTTAAGGAACTAAGGTATACAAAACGTAAAATAAGACAGTTTCGTCTATCACAGTTAGATAATGTTCAATGATACATTGATCTAAAAGTACATTTTTCGTACTAAAAGACTTGCACACTTCCATTATTAAAAAATAAATTATCATTTCATGCCAGTTCCAGAACTAATATGTTTAGAATCTTCATAAAAACTGAGTCTGTGAGAGTAATTTTTGGTATTCTTCAAACAAGTGGTTATTATAAAGAGTATTGGATCATAAAATGAGTTCCAAGCAACATTTCAACAAATCGACGGATTATTATGAAAGGCGATCTACTTTATTTTATGTCGTAGTATATATAACTTTTATATATCATTGAAAATACAGTATTATTTCTGACAATTAAATTAACTTAAACAAAGTTTTAATGACACATTTTCTGTACTTGATAAAGAATCGTCAAAAACAAATTTATTTATTTATCGAAACTTCACTAACATATACAAGTATTCAAAGAGATTTTGATAATTTTACTCCATCATATCCTTATTCAAGTCGAACACTTGTTATTATGAAATGAGATTTATATATTTTATTTTATTTAGGCTGTGAGAAACATTTGATCTCATCATCTGTTTCATTTCTAACAAACATATTTTCTTCTTCTTCTTCTTCTTCTTCTTCTTCTTCTTCTTCTTTATGTCATGTCATGTCTTGTTCTTTTTTCTTCTTCTAATCAATAAAATAAAGTCATTTGAATAATTGTTTTTATTGATGAGAATGAACAAATGTCTATCAATTTTTATTCCCTTTTATAATTTATTTCTGTATATGGTATTTATCATATTTGACTTTTAGTTTTTTTTAATCCAGAGTTGTAACATTATCATGATGATTCTAATGAATTATTATTTTCTATTCTCTTTAGTCTTTTTATTTCAAGGTCAAAAAATAGATTATTAACTGGTTATACATAATATATATATATATATATAAATAAATAAATAAATAACAAGAAATGTTCAATTTTGTTTGTTTCATTAAATATGGTCAAGCTAAATAGACATGTTTATGGCATCCATATATACGACGAATATCATTACGAAAATTGATATTAAAAAATGAATATATTAGTGGATTACACTAGAAAAAGAAAAAAAAGAAAATAATGTACTCTTTAAACTATTTTTGTTTGTTTTTTATACTTACTGCACTATTAACATAATAAAGTAAAAATAAAACTTCACGATATTCATATGGTTTTATATTAAATAAAGTAATTATAACTGATGGTAAATACATAAGAATAAAAGTTGCTGTAACAATAAATAATGTTAATGTTGTTCTAATATTTGCTAAACGTTCTTGTCTTTGTTGTCGTTCAAATATACGTTGAGTTTCTCTATCAAATCCAGATGTACGACGTTTTGATGATATAGAATTTCTTTTTGTTGGATCGACTGATGATGATGATGTTGATAATGAACGTTGATTATTTATATTAACTATTACTTGATGATTTATCGGTGATGAAGTTGAACTTAATTGTTGATTTGTACTTGAAGAATCTTCAATAATACAATGATCAGTAGTTCCTCGCAATGTCACTATTCAAAAGAAGAAATTTCCGGACTATTTATTATTTTTTATAATTAATAAAAGAAAAAAAAAACAAACAAATACAGAATTCAATGGAGTAAGATATCAAATTTTTTAAAGGCATTGCAAATAAGAAATAATCTATAAAATACTTAACAAATCTTATCTATGTATATAAATTGAAAATTATGATGATGACTTTATTTGTTTTTTGTGGTTTTATATTTAAATAAGATGCTTACTAAATGATACTTTTCTTTGATTAACAGATGTTTCAGATGATCGTTGTTGTTGTCGAATAGATAATGTATTATTGGATTTGTTTACAATTGGTGGATGTAATAAAGTCTTTGGTTGTGATATATTTCCTTGTAAATCCATATCATTTGAACAGGATGATAATTGTATTTGTTGTTTAGGTACAGTTAAATATGTTAAATTAGATGGTGTAATTGATTTAATTTGTGATAAACTATTATTTAATGTTAATAATTTTGATGTTTGTTCAAATGAATCTTCAGTTGATGTTGATCGTCGACTTGTTGATGAATGTTCCATTCCACAATAAGTAACAGCTGCTATTGAATTAATTCTTGAACTTATTAAATTAGTTGATGATGTATCATCCCAAACTCCACTAGTAAAATATGTCATTGATGTCATTGATATAGCTGAATAACGTTTTTTAGATGTTGATTTAACTTCTAAAATAATATCTTCAGGTTTTTTTTTAATTGTACATGTTTGTTTATGATGAAAATATTTAACTTTATTTTGATTATTTAATGATTGATGTAATATTGATTGTCGTGATATATTTCTATGTACTTTATTACAACAATAACAACAAATATATGTTAATGAAAAATTTCGATTAATTTGTTCATTTTCTCTTTCATTATTTGCTAAATAAGAATGAAGAATTTTTCTATAAGTAGAAAATCTTTTTGTACGTGTTCGACGACGTTGATAAACTGCATTATATATAAATGAATAAAGAATTAATACAAGTATAATACATAAAAAAAAAAAATAAAAAATAAATATTAATATACAAAAAAAAAAAATAGAAAAATTAAAACCTTTTTTTAAAAAAAAAAAAAAAAAAAAAAAAAAAAAAAAAAACAGTTTTATATTTTATATAAAAATAATTTTCTTTTTCTTTTAATTAACTTACGTAAACTAAATCTTGGACTACATTTAACATGTGTTGCATTAACAATTGTTAATGGTAATATAAATACATTTGTTTTTATATCTTCAACATGTGTATAAGCTGGTGAATCATATTCATCATAAATTTCAATTGGTAATTGATTCGAATGATTATTATGAATACGTAATATATGATCCATTGTTGAATATTCACTCATTGGTATTATAGCTAGAAAGAAATAACAAAATCTTCTTTTTGTTTTTTATTTATTTATTTGAAGCAAAAACAAAAACAAAAATCTGTACCTAGTAAAGATGATAAAATACCAGATATAGCAACAATAGCACGTGCACGATGGATAGTTATGATTTTATATAATGGCCAACATATACAAAAATATCGATCGAATGCAATTGTTGTTATAAGAAATGTTGAATAAAGTACATGAGTATTTAAAAAACCATAAATTTTACAAAAAAATTCATTATAAATACCTAAAGTCAGATTAAAAGAAAATTATTAAACGTCATGTTGTAGAGCTAAATATCTTGTTTCTCTGCTTTCAATCATAAATCTTTTATTAAGATCTTTCACACAAAAAAAAATTCAATTTTCATTAAAAATATAAAAATTTAGATAAACGCATCGGTAGATAGTTTAACGTCTGATGTTTCATAAATGATATGACTTTTTTTTATTTAGTACTTCGTTTCCAAAAATTATCGTTATTTTCTGATTGAGAAATATTTTTTTTTTTCAAATAAAGCGAAAAATCTTTTTCTTTATTTATATTTTGCTAATAACTTTGTTTTCTTGTTTGAATGTAAAGTATGATAGAGTCTTTCTCCTGAATTAACTTTTATTACTATTATATAAAAGTGTGTTTTTTTTCTATATTATTAAACGAGCTATAGAAGTTTTTTGATAATTTTTCATTAGACAACAGTATATATATGTAGACTTGTAGGGATAAACTTTCTCTATCTAATCGTATATGTAATGTATTATCAAATTTTATAGTGTGCATAATTGATGTCACTTATTGACATGTCGAAGGTATACAGTAGAATCTGAATATAGATCGACTATTAGATGAAATAAGTCTATCTCTTCCAACCTACATTTATACTGTTCTGTAGTCAAAGTCGTATAATTATTTTTTTACGTAGTTGACTTTTAATATTTCGGTATTATAGATTAACCATTCCTTGCTTTATTTTCTATTGGTATTTAATTTTTTCATGATTTAATTAATTCTATGTGCAACGACAAAGAAAAACAAAATTCTTCAATATATTATTGAAATGGTCGTTGTTATCAATAAAAATATGAATTGATTTGTGAATTACGTTGTTTCTCTCATTGAATAATTAACCGTTATATTTAAAAAAAAAGGAGTGCCTAGATATAGCCTTTTTGAAAAATTTTCTTTGTCGGAATGCGCTATTCGATTACGCTACATTAATTAGAAGTTAAAATTTTCTTAAAGTCTCTTATAAAAAAAAAAAACCCAAAGTTATGATTATGAAAAAATTTGATCATTGTAGTATTTATCAGAAACGTAATGCGATAATGTTCTATTTTCATTGCGTAACTAACTTCATAAAAGTCCGTGGTCGATTTTGTTTTAGAAAATTTTAGTAAAAAATGTCATTAATTTTTACCTGTTGTTGTTTGATATAATTCTAATGGAGCCAAAAGTAAACATATTATTAAATCAACAAAAGCTAACATTTTAATAAAAAATGTAGATGTTCTATTATCATTTCGATTTATATAAACATAAAGTACAAGAATATTTCCTGTTGTACCAAAAACAATAGTAATTATTAAAACAATCCATACAGCAATAAGAATAAATAAATTTACAATATGATCATTTGTTGAATCCGAATAATTAAATGATGTTTCATTTGACATAAAAAATGTTGATGATAAAAATAAAGATGGATGATAATAGATTGTTGCCATTGAATTTGAAGAATTATTTCAATTTTTATTTTCGATATCTAAAAACAATACGAAAATAAAATAAATAATAATATCGTATATCACTTCTTTTTTTTTTTTTCCATAAAATTGTTTATTGAAAAATTTTTTATTTTTATTTTTATTTTTTATTAACAATAAAAGAAAGAAAAAGATATTTACTTGTGTCAACATGAACTAGTAATTACTTCATCGCTTGATAATAGAAGAACAAGGAAACATAAAACAATGTGATCTATACATTTATATTTTATACGATGTAAAACTAGTCTTTTATATTTCAAGAGTACCGTCAGTAGAATGATGTTTTATTTCTTCTCTCTATCTCTTCTTTTTTTTTCTGCTCAACGCTCGTTTTAATTATATTGACTAGAAGCATTTTGTTTTTCTCTCTTTTTGTCTTTCTCAGCTAGCTTATTTGATATAGGTAGATGTTGTGTTTTTATATTTCGAAACACACACCCATATAGATATAAACGTACCCATTGCATCGTTATCGGCATTAATGTTTCTTGCTAGTTTATTATTGATAAATCTTAATAAACACAAAATGATAACCCTAGGATAGTTATTAAATTGAATAGTCTTATATTTTTATGAATAGATAGTGAATAATAAAGCAACTAAAGAACAAAAAGAAAACAAATAGAAAAAAAAATGTACGTGATAGAACATTTTTTAAGAAAAAATAATGCAGAGTCAATTAAAATAATTGTCAATCGAAAGAAAGAAAAACAAATATTTTTAGAATTAATGCAAAAGACTGTCGATTTCAGGCGTGTCATCTTGAATAGATTAATTTTCTTTTAAGAACACGCACACACAAACATCAACTCAATCGACTTATACATGCAGAAAATTCCATATTTACATTTTATGGATTACAATTCATTTTACGTTATTCAAATAAAATTTTCTATCGATAAAATAAGACTATAATATATTCTTATATGAAAAACAAACAAAACAAAAATAAAAACTCAAAGAATTTAATTATTCTTTTTTTTTATTTATAAATCTATGTCTATAGGCGTTTTCATTTATATAGTTATAATCTTTAGACATATATACACAATAAAAAAAAAAAAAAAAGTAAAAAGCTCATCAATCTAAGAGAAATCAAGTAAAAAAATGTTACTTACACTTGACTTAATAAACTCATTCAGTTAGAAAAATTCTCTAAGAGTATAGCTGGATTTTCTTTAATGAAAAATCACGTACGGAAAAGTGAGTGTCAATTTCGGAAGCAAGTGTGAAGGAACTACGCATAGATGCATTTGTCACAAACATACAGAAAATTAACTATTACACAATCAAGAAAGATTCTACGATATACAACGGATGTTGTTTTTTTTATTTTATTTTATATATATTGACTTGACTACATTACTCTTTTTTCTCTTGTATTGTTAAATTAATAGTCAAAATATCACTTATCTTGTTGTTATAACTGCTAAATCTTGAATAAAAAATCATAATATCGAGGTTTTAATGTTTAACATGACCCTTTTCTAAAAATGTTCTTTTACATATAAAATAATTTCAATGAAATTTTCAAGATGAACAAATGCACATGTGTCTTTTTTGTTTCTGTTTGACAGTGTGTTGGTTTACATTAAAAACAAAAGATAAAACAAAACTTATTCAATAATCATACAAAACCCTATATAAGATGTTCTTTTTCCCTTTCTTGTGAGAATAAATTAATTGATTTTTCTTTGTTTTGTTTTTTTTTATTTCTTATTTCTTATAAGTATTTAAATAAAGAGGTATTATATTAATAGTTAATGAACTTTATTTCGGCAATAGAGGGAAAAAAGTAGAATATTTAAAATAGGTCAAATATATATCACACAGAAAAAAAAACAAATCGATGCATTTTCTATGTTTACTATTTTAAAATTTAAAATAAGAATGATAATGTAGTTAACAAAATATAAAAGAAAAAAAATCTAAGCGATTTTTATCCGATTATAAACTTAAATCTACTAATAACTATTTTATTGTTGTGAATAAAAGATTTCGTATTTTTTTTGTTTTTCTTCTATTTCAACTTACTATATATAGTTCAATGAACTAAGAAAATCCAAGTAAAAGATTCAGGTTTTTTTTTTTCTTCATCTTTATTTCAATTTCACATACGATCTATTTTCTTGCTAAGTCATGTACTAAACATTTATAAATATTTATTTAATCATATTATATTTATAATATTTATCTTACAGTAATTATTTTTAGTTATTCGTGAAGAAATATAATATAAATTGAAATAAAGAGATTACTTTTTAACATATATATCTATTACAAACATAATTTTTATTTTCAGAAGAAATTTATTCTAAAGTATTTAAACACGATACTATAACATATTTTAAAATATGTTTTGAAACGAATATTTTTCTTATATATTTTTATTCATTATGTTGTTACTTATAGAATTGATTTAGGAATCGAAACAAATCGATAAATAATAAATATATATATATAAAAAATAAAATAAAATAAAATATTATCAACTAAACATCAAAATTGTAGTATCACATATACATAATAAAATTATCTTTTTTATTTTTCATATATAATATATTTAAAACTAACAAATCAATACGAGCTCGATTATTCTATATTAAAATGAAAATAATATACTCAATGAAATTTATATAAATATTACATTTGACATTAGTTTCTAACTTATTGATTATTTACATAAATTTATTAATAAATATATTATAGAAAATATTCAACTTAACAGTAAAATAGATAAATTTATAACGAAACATTTTACTTTAATAATGAATAATATATGATATAATGAAGGAGATTTAAAAACTTAAATGAATGAATAGAATCAATTTAGAATATGAAGAACAAGTAAATATGAAAGATGAATATAGTTAATAGTATTAAAACTATTCTAATAAAAAATATAATAATCTTGTGTTAATTATATCTATATGAATAATATAGTTTATCAAAGAAATCATTTTAATCGTTGGAAACGACATTCTAAATAGACTGAAATAATATATCACTGAGTTTATTTTCATTATATTTTGCCGTAATCTATTTAACCATTTTGTTTTCCATCAAATTACCATCATTCGTTCTTCTATTTCTTCCGTTGTTTGAACTTACGGAAAAACAGCGATGTAATGACGTCAATTTTTTGCCTTCGTATATCAATTACTATCGTTTACGGCGCTATTTTCATAAACCCATACTGTTTTCATATATATTATGAATTCTAGTAAAAGAGTGTTTGTGTTATCGTTGTTTTTTTCTGGTTCATTGTCGAAATACATTTGATAGTGTGTTTTATTCAAGCATGTTATTAACATCTATAGCCAAATTCATCTTATATATTTTCATGTCATTATACATAATTGGTAATATCGATCATTTTTCATAGAAATATAGATGAGAAAAAAGTAAAATCTGTTAATGAAGGCTTACAATATAATATGGACGATGAGGAGCCTTACGTAAAACTTTTGACGAAAAAAAAATTTTTTATTTTAAAAATTATTCGATGCAGTTTATTCAAGATTGTTTGTTTCTTTTTTTTGTAAAATCTGTATTTCAGTCCAATAGCATTTATAGTAATTGAGTAGAATTATTAGAGAGAGAAAAAAAAGAAGCATTATATTAAACTTTTATCGAGTTTGAAATAGTACTAAATTTCTTTCTAATAGAAAAAATGTTAGAACGAAAATTTTCATATAGCCGCATCATATTACACGAGCTAAACTTTAAGATTATCTATGATTTATTCCATAGATCTTTCTATTATTTATTTCAATATATAATGTGATTCACCGGTTTTTTGTTTGAAATAATTTTGTATAAGAATATCGTAGCAATTTTTACCATTAAAGAGAAAAGATTCGAACCGATCAAAATATATTGAAATTCGATTGGTAATCAATTGACAAACCAAGTGAGTTCTTGACAAAAAATTTTTGTTTAGATTTAAACTTTTAATAGAATTAATCGATAGAAGAAATTCTTCTCTCTTTATATAGGCAAAGTTGACATTCCCATCTTGTTTCATTCAAGAGTTATTAAATTTTTCTGAGACCTCTGATTAAACTCAATTGACCTGTGATCATCCGGAAAATCAGTTAAGTGGGACTAACTCACCATGTTGAGTTGATAGATATATTGGTTTTATTAGGTTCACAATGATTTAACTTTCTTATAACAATATTTTCAACACATCGATTCATTTGTGATATGAAAGATAATTGTAGAATTTGAAATATATCGAGATATAAGAGACTTTATTCATTTCTAACCTAAAAATAAATATCATCATTTAATTCAGTATGGTGAATTATCTCGGTCTAGTTACTTTTCTGGATGATCACGCGTCAATTAGCTTTAATTGAAAGTCTCAAGAAAAATTCTTTAACTTTCGAACGGAACAAGCTAAAACTATCGACTTTGTCTTTATTGAAAGAGAAAAATTTGTTCTATCAACTAACTTTATTAAAAAGTCTAAATTAAAAGAATAGTAACCTCAGAATATAATTTTTGAACATATTTTTACCCTAAGTCTACATTGTTGTCAACAATGTAACAAATAAATTCTTGTCATAGTAAAATAATAGCAGTAAAACATTGAGTTAAGACATATGCAAATCGAACTTTTAATTTATTCCAGTATTGTATACTTATGAATTGAACTAATTGAATAAATCAATAGTAAAAGATCGAAACAATGAAGAAAAAACAATCGAGACAAAAATCCGTTGAGATTAATATTCTGATAAGTATTACTCTCAAAATAGGAAAAAAGAATAAAAAGAAAAAATTAATATAGAATACATGAATAGTTGGAATCTATTCAATTTTTTACTTTTACCGATGTAACTTGGCAAATATGTTCTCACAACTGATAGGAATTATTTAATAATCATTTAATTGAGAATTTATTAAATTTTTTAATGATAAAGAGAGAAATAAACAATCGTTGAAAACCC